ACCTCATTGAAGGGGACCAAAATGTTCTTGGAGGTCCAGGTCAGCAAAGTAGCCTTCAGGGAGTGCGTACCATAGTCCCGCACTTCCGACTCCTCTGCTCCACACAACATCAGGGCTTCTCGCAGATAAGCGGTCCCCTCACTGGAACCCATCTCCTCAGATCCCCAGCAACCCAACCTCTCACACCACGTCGGAGTGATGAAGTTAGGGCCGGTCTGAAGTCTCTCGGACTCTCTAGCCGCTATCCAAGCCTTGGCCCAGGGTGCCCCAGATAACCCCAGACCCAAACCCACTAATGGCAAAAGTCGGGCTTTGGCCTCCGCAGTCGTGGCATTCTTTATCCCAGCAGTCTCAGCATGAACAAGATGGACACCCGAAGATTCATCCACCTCCACCCACACTCGCTTCACTCTCTGGACATCCGACCAGCGCGCGCAAGCATGAGCACAGAACAAGAGATGCCCCAGGATACAGCACCATCTGGCATCACACTCCACCGCCATCTGCTCAAGGGCCATAAGCTGCTTTGCTTTTATAGGTGGCCGCTGCTTTAAGAAATTCTTCATGGCCCTCATCATCCTGGCCTGACCCAGGACTCTAGAGCTGAGAACAACATCGATCTTCATGATTGTAAGGCGGGCGACCGAATCCAAGAACCGCACTGCTTCAATAAAATGTTGCCCTGAGAGGGCTCCTGTGAACTTCTGCTCCAAGAAAAGGACATACTTAAAGACCTGCCCTTCAGACGCCCTCAACGGCGAGTGCCTTTCGGTCTCCAGCATCCACACCGAAAACCTTGATAGGGAGAAGGCTCTCTTCGACAAAGTCCCCGTGGCCTTCGAGGCAAAAGCGCAAGTGAACGACCTCGAAAGCATGAAGTCATCGTCCATCAGCTTTGCTTCCTCCGCGACAGTCTTACCCAGCTCCGAGGTAGCTGGATCGAAAAGGATTATTCGCCTCAGCTTCTGAAGAGCCAGGTCCCTTCTGTCATCCTCGGGCCTTTCCAACCTGAAGCTTCTAAGCCTCCTCCGGACCACCGAAGGAAGCTCAGCAGGTTCCAAAGCAGGAGCCTCCTCGTCTGGCACCCTAACGTCATCAACTCCAATGGAAGGAAGCATATATAAATGGCTCTCATCCTTCGAAGGGCTCGCCCCAAAGATATGACCCCAAACTCCTACCTCCCAAGGAAGCTTGGGGGCTTGAAGACATCGCCTCTTGTAAGCCACCCCATCAGCCACCTCTGCTCTCCTCCACTCAGAGCTGGCCTCCAATTGAGAAGCCACCAGCTTAGACGGGGTAGGCAATACTCTAGCCCCCGTCACTGCCTGGGAAGTCGAGCGGTCAAGTTCATGATTCGAAACCACATCCCAAGCAGACGAAGACTTACGCACCTCTGTGTCCTCTGCCTGACTGTACCAGGCTCGCTCAAGCTCCTCATCTAGGATATGCTCAGGCAAGCCGGCACTCTGTCCGGAAAACACCTGAGGTTCTTCCTCCGAGGGAACCACGAACGGGGAGTTCCTTCAGAGATCCCACACCGGCTCCGAAGCTGCATCCTCACCCCCTGACAACTCCAGCGAAGGAGACGCAGGAGCAGGCACAGCGTCGTCGCCAGACATGATGCCTCACGGCTCGAGCGGAGCCGGGCCGCTGTCCTCGCAGAAACTTCTGAAGAGGCGCCGGAGGGCGGCAACGCAGTACTCGACGATCCGAAGCCGAGCGCTCTGCTGTTGTTCTAGCTCCTCGAGCGTCTCCACGCGGCGCTGCAAATGCTGAACGCGTCCAGCAAGATACTGAACGCTTGCTTGCAAGCTCTGCACCGAGTCAGCCGAGGAAGAGGAGCGCGGCGAGGAGTCCATGAACGAAAAATCTATCAGGTGCTCGGATGCACCTTTTGCCCTTGACGTGTCATGGCCACCACGGCTCCTCATTACCCGACATGACTGTCAAGCAACTGTGCAGAGAAACCATGTACATGAAATAACGTGAAAATCTGCACTGCAACAAAATTCATGCCAAGAACGAAGTAGACTGCACAAAACCAGTCATGGGAAGAACATGCAATCCTCGCACAAAAGCACCATGACCTAGCTTTGTAAACTCAGTGAAATAGCCGCGCAGACAAGCGCTACCTCCACGACAACACCCCGTGTCATGCAACCAACATCATGAACATCAGACCCCCCTCACGACACCTACAAGCACCCGCCACTGAGC